CTGCTTCCCTTCCCCCCCTTCCTCCTGGCTAGTCTCATGGCCCCCAGATCCCTCCCACCCCGCCAGCTCTGCTTCTCGCCCCGCTCCCCTCCCGGCCAGTCCCTCCCCTGCCCATGATCAAGTGTGTCTGGTTTTTTGGCAGGGTCTACCTGGTAACCTTAATGGTATTTTCACCTCCTGGCCAGGAAAAAAAATCAGAAAATACCAGACATTTTAGGTGTCTGGTATTTTCTGAATTTTTTTACCAGACAGGAGGCAAAAATACCAGACTATCTGGATCAATACTAGACACCTGGCAGCCCTAGTCAGGCTCAGATACTCTCACTGGGGATTTGCTAGACCACATGTAGACGAAGGAGCCATATCAGCTTCTTCAGGGGCTGAACACAAGTGGAGACTGGTAATTCTGCTGATGGTACTGGAGTAGGGTGAGTTGAAAATTTACTGTCAAAACTGTTTTCCAAAGACAGTTTAGTTTTTCAACTAAACAACTTTTTTTTTTTTTTTACAAAAAGTTTTAAAAAAAATGCCTAAGACCAATAAACAGAAATATATCTGAGTTTGAGCTAGCTGTTTTGATTTGGAAATATTGCTGTGGTGCCTCATGGGAGATGTAGTCAGAACCAGGAGCCCGGCCAGTAGAGGAGAATGGGAGCACAAATCACCCAAACTACAACTCCTAGGAAGCATCATGGCAGCATTTCAGAAACAAAACATTTTAGTTTCCAGTCACATTTTCTTCAGTATTGGAATTTCCCCCCAAAATAGAAACTTTCCAATGAAAAATTCAAGCCAAAATGAATTTTGCTTTTTATCATTTTCCATGGAACTTTCCACCTTTTTTTTTTTTTTTTTTTTTTTTGACGGGGTCCATACCGGAGCTCATCTCAGGCTCTGAGAAGCGATAGAGAGAGTCTAATCCAGCCTTGGCAAACTCCATTCTGGTTGCCACCTGCTCCTTAAAGATAAAAATCCACAGGCAGGATGTTCATTTATTGCCACCTTTATTTCCTCCCAGGTTTTCTCTGGAAAACTTTGTGCTTGATAAGTATGTGCGGTATAATCTCACTGTGTATCCAGTGGTCATTGTAGCCCTGACTGGCAGTACGTGGAAGAACTACTCCCCTTCACCTCCAGATGACAACAGTATCTTTAAAGGTGCGTCCCTGTCATGTGTCAGCTCATTTTTCTTAGAAGAGGGCAGCAGTCTCTCCTGAATATTTCCAGCATGTCGTTCCCCCAGCTGTTGTGCTCAGAGGAGCCTCTCCTGCAAATGGGGACCTTTAAAAAACAAATAGGCATTTATAAGAAGTCCTTAATTTTATAGAGTGGGAGTGGAGTTAGGCCCCACCTTTAACTATGCAGTGAGTGCTGGGCTTGGGGTTGGAATCAAGCCCTTAAATCACTCCGTTCATTTGATATGGGTTCAGATTCTACTCCACCCCCTCCACCACCTTCTGTGTGAAGCTGACCTGCTGCATTGCCATGGTGCCCAGGACATCTCCCTTCTGCTGATGAGGAGGGTTCAACCTCTGGTGAAGCCTCAGCTACACATCTCACTGGGGTGGAGGTAGCACATCTGACACAGAGGATGTAGTAGTAGCAACAGCCAGAAAGCCATTCTGCTGCCGCTCTGTGGCCTGGGGGAGGATTGTTTCTGAATTCCTCAGAGCTTCAGCTTTATTTGTGGAATTATGCCAGTTAAGGGTTTTCTTATATCAGATAGGGGTATTCCCCTCCCCAGCCATATACATAGCTATGCTGGTAAAAGCCCTACTGTAGACTGTTATAGTGATACTAGAAGATTTACCCAGCATTGCTTAGGTCCTTAACTCAATTAGTATTTGCCTTTTGGAAAATAAATTGAAAATGCACACGCTGCATTGGAAGCATTGCTCTGGGGCACGGCGGGGGATGAGAGGTTCAGTATACAGGCTGCCCCAGGGAGAGAGGACTGCCCCAGACCTCTCTACCAGAGTTTGGGTCCAAGTGAGAAGTGCCTCTCCATAGCCCCTGCTGCTCCCACAAGCACAGCTGGGGGAGGGGTGCATGTCCCCCCAGCTGGACCAGGTCCAAGTTCATCTGCCCCCTGTGCTCTCCAGCCAGAGTGAGGAATGCAGCAAACTGTGCACGTTCCCCTCGCTCCCTGACAAAGGGAAACAGCCAGCAAGGTCTCCGTACAAATTGGGGAAGGAGCTTCAGCCCCCCCACTCCCCAAAGGGCACCTTGTGGGTGGGAGACTTGGGACTGGGTCAGTCCTAGTCAGGGGAGGGGGAGTGGCCCCAGACAGCCCCTTTTAAATGCCTGGTGATGTTTCCGTCTCTGTTCTGTATAGTTTTATGGAAAGCAATCCCATTCCAGGCACATCCCATTTTCCTGGCACAACCAAATCCTGACCTTGCTGTAAGTTATGAGAAGAGGAAGCTGTATCCTGAATTTGGTGGTCCTACCTCTTTCCATTTAGGGGGAGTTCTTGAACAAACAGACAGACAAATTCTCTCAAATATATAGATAAATGTGCTTCCACTAGTAAAGCATAGGCCAGTTTGGGGAACTGGCATAAACTATAGCTTGGACTAAAGTTTTATCATGATAGCTCTGTTGGGTAGCAATATGAAGAAATCACCCTCTAGCCTACGCAGCTGTGTTGGCAGAAGTCCCAGGGTAGGCACAGCTGTACTGGCAAACAAGCTTATTTCATTCAGAGAACTAGTATAATATACACAGACAAAAGATCTCATTTGCTGATATAAGCTGCATTTCTTCTGGGGAAGTTTCTACTAGGCAAACCCTTTCTAATGGAGACCAGACCTATCCTAGTATTACTGCATCTAAAAAGAGTTGTGTATAAATATATCGGTATAGTTAAACCAGCAAAACCCTAGGACTGTGTCTAGACTGCATCCCTTTTCCGTAAAAGGGATGCAAATTAGACATATCGCAATTGCAAATGAAGCGGGGATTTAAATCCCTCCCGCTTCATTAGCATAAAAATGGCTGCCGCTTTTTTCCGGCTCGGAGCTTTGCTAGACGCGGATCTTTCGGAAAATAAAGCCTTTTCTGAAAGATCCCTTATCCCTTATTTTAAGAGGGATAAGGGATCTTTCGGAAAAGGCTTTATTTTCCGAAAGATCCGCGTCTAGACTGGCGCTTTTTTTCCGACAAACCCCCGGCCGGGAAAAA